ATTTACTTTTATTAATAGTTACTAATAATTACTTGTAGCTATTGTTATTAGCAAGTCTTTCTCCTACTATAAGTTAACACTTACTCTTCTAAAAATAGTGATTACTCTGTACTGCTTTTATCCTGGGTGGTCAGTCGAGGCACCTTGTAAATGCTCAAGGTGTAGAAGCCAGGAATAAAAAAGAGGCTGTCATTGTTTCAAAGGCAAACTTTGTGTTCATACTTTACTGGAGTATACATATAATTCCTCATGTAGCAACCAGTGCAGTCAGTGACTGAGTTGCAAGACTTTAACTTGGTATTTATTTATTTATTTATTTAGCGGAACCAGGGATTGAACTCAGGCCCTTACACTTGCCAGGGAAGCACTTATTCCACTGAGCCATCTTCCTGGCCCCTAACTTGGTCTTTAAAGCAGAAATGTCTATGTTTTAAATTTCAAGGACATTGAAATTTGTATGAATACAGTGTAAGGAAGGGAGAGAGGCTTTCTTTCTCTGTTTCTGCTGCCACTGCCCTCCCAATTTTCTCTTGCTGTTTTGCTATTTTCTGCTACAATAAACAGCTACTCTCTGCCACATGCCATTATGCCTTGGAACTAGTGGAGTATGGACTGAAACCTCCACTAATGTGAGCCAAATAAACCTGTCCTTGCTTAATTCTGCATATTGGACATTTTGTCCCAGAAATGAGAGAAAAGTAACTGACACAAAAGAATAACTGTAAAGATATGTGTACATAGGAAATATGCTGGGAGACACAGCTTAAAACTGTTAACAGCATCTGAGGGCCAGTGAAGGACGCTGTTATTTCCTTGTTCACCATGTTTTTACATCTTTCTATATGACTTTTATTTAGAGGAATAACCAGAAAATTGTAAAAACTCAGGTGAGGTTTTTAACTGCACAATTTCATTAACCTTCCACCTTTACTTATCATTTTTAAAATGATCAAGCACATTCAGCAATTTAAATTTTATTGTTCCCTTAACTGGCAACTAATACTCAGATTCTGTGTGTAATACAGGTGTAAAATCTGAATAGGTGTAATATCAATACTAAGCTGTGTATGATCTGCATAACGTTCTTTCATATGATCTGAGGTAAATCCTTATTGCTCAAACAGAGGGGGGGAAATTCAAATTTCCCACTTACTTTGTTAGCAAATTACCCTATGAAGATAGCTTATTAGACTGTTAAAAACCTGGTAATATTTTGTAGTCCTGTTGAAGTCTTCAGTTTTCAATTATAAATGACCTTTACAAACAGCACACCAGCAAGGTGTGGAGGCCCACATCTGTCACCCCAGCACTCAGGAGGGAGGCTGAGGCAGGAGGATTGCAGTAAGTTTGAGGTCAGCTTGTGCTACAAAGTGAGTTCAACACCAGCCTCAAGTGCATAGTGAAACTTTGTCTCAAAGAAAAGAAAGAAAGATGGAAAGAGAAAATGAAAGAAATAGCACACTAAAAAGATCATACTGAAAAAAGACTTCGGTGGCCAAAATAGTGTCCCCAGTGTCTGCCATGTCCTAGATAAAATTTCCTTTTGAGAAAACCACAGCTACTTATTTTCAGTGGCCTCATTGAAATAAATGAACACAGTTTCAAGTCGAAATAAAAGGCACGCCGGTGCTCAAAGGCATGAAATGATTCACTCCCAGCACTACATAGTGAGAGCAAATAATTTATTTTTCTTGAGTTCTAAAAATGAGGCCAGGGAAGGGCTTAGACAGTTCAAGGGGGCAGAGGTCATCAAATTTCCTCTATGAGACTAACACAGAGTCTGTGTGATTTAACACCTCTAAAATTATTTCTAAAACTGAAACTATCTAAGCATTCTCTAAGTTTAAGCATGATTACTCACTTTTAAAAATACCCTCTAATTAACTTAAAGGAGAACAAAAATAACAGTGACCTGAAACTCTACTTCTCTATATTTTTGTGTCCCTATAGGGTTCTATTGTCCCCAAATGGCTTTTAGATAAGTGACGCCTAGAATACAGACAAGGTTTACAAAAGGATCCAGGGTGCGAAGATATCTACCATCTGAAAGGACCTCAAGACCCATTCCTTACAGCGGCAGTGTCCTCGGCACCAGAGGCATGGTCTGAGGTCCTCAGTGAAACACTCCCTGGTGACACCTTCTACTGCTGAAATGCAGAAGTGTCTGCAGAGGTTCTCCTGATGAGAATGCTTCCTTCTTGGAGACAACGTGGACGGATAAGAAGGTGAAACATGACTACTAACAAGTGAGCATCCACATCATTGTACCTGAAAATCCTTCACTTTTCTTTCTGTTTCTTAGAAAATAAAATATAGTCCAATGATTAAAAAGAATCCTAGTTCATAGAGAACTCTGTACAATGTGATTTACTTACAACTATGTAAATTATCTCTACCTTAAATTGTATTTTATTACATGAGTTGCAATAATACATCAACTGAGGAAAGAAGGTAGAAAGAATTTTCGTTTTTAGTGGATTCCAAGGGAAAGGATCTAATTTCACTTTGTGGGAGCAAAACAAGAAAATCAAAGAATTCTGTAGTGTAAATCTTTTTAGAGGATGTGGAAAATTAAAAACAGCATTATTATTTCTGAAGAAACAGAATTGAAGATATAACCTTGCCTAAGTGCTGGTTCCCGAGGAACATAGAAATGCAGAAAGAGTGCTCATGCACATTTCCTGACCAAGCAGTGGGCGTGGCTTTTAGCTCTGTGGAACTGAACATGGAGACTCTGGAGCACGTGATTTTACTGAGCAAATACTCTCAAGAAACCATGGGGAAGGAAGGAAAGCAAGGGAAGACCAGCTGAAATGCACCTCAGGGTCTGGCCTCCACTCACCCCACAGTGAAATGCAGCAGGAAGCTGTCCCACCAGGAGCCAGGCACCTCAGGGCTTCTCCCCGGGTCTGCCTCATGGGGCCTGGGCCGGCCCGAGGGGAGTAAGCGGTCAGTCACCCCCAGCACAGCGGTGCAGCTTAGCCCCTGCCAGGCGGGTGGGCAGTGAGGACCCCCAGGGCAGCCCGCGTGGGCTTCGTGCAGGGAGCATGCTGTGCGGAGCGGCTGACGCTGGAAAGCACTCGCGCAGGACGAAGCCAGCCCGAGGACGGACGTGGGCCCTCCCCGCATCCTGCTGCTCAGCCTTGTTCACTGATTGATCAGTAGAGAGTCTGAGCTTCCTAACCTCTCTAGGGTACGAACAAACGATCTACTGTTCACGGACAGTTGCTCTCCTCCCTCAGCTGTTTATCTCTTGTCTGTGTACATTCTCACTGCCCTTCCTTTCCGGGGTACAGCAAATGCTGAGCGGATCCCTACAGCACACCTCCGCCTACAGACGCCATGTCTTAGTGGTTGCTTGGACCTGTTCCCTTGCTAAATGCAAGGACTGGGCCTGAGTATTTTTGTTTTATTTGCCTGCCCCCCGTACACCCTAAACATAGATGCCTCAGGTACCAATAACCTTGAAGTCTATGCATTTATGTCTACTGAAATTCTGACTGCACAAAAGTTCTGTATAAACCCACTTATTGTATACTACAAAATATTTACGCAAATTTCCGGTCTAAGTTTTATCATACAGGATGCTGTGCTTACGGGTGCTATGGTTTATAATGCCTGCAGTATAAATAAGAGCTGGAAAATTTGACCCTTAGGTTAAATTGTTTCCTTTCTTTCATTTCATTTTGTCTCATGTCTAATAAACTCACCACTTTGAATGAAGCTTTTCTAAAATTCTGTACAAAGAACAAGGTAACAATTACAGATGAGCTCAAAAATGTGTTAACATGGGGTTAAAAGATGGAAGCATTTCAACTATCAAGCAATTGAGGGTTGGTTCCATAAATTATAGTAGAGCTATGTGATAAAAGACTCTAACCTATTAAAATTCATATCATAGAGAATATTTAATACATAGAAAATATTTGCAACGAGTGAAAATAAAAGTTTCAAACAAATGGTGACTATTGCCCCTTTTGTGAAAGTTAGTAATTGCGCATAAAGTGACTGGCAATGTAGACATCACCATATTAACAGTGATACCTCTCAGTGGCTTGGGTGTTTGAATCACAAATGTTTCTACAGTTATCTTTTATCGGTTTCAGTTTTCATATTTCCCATAATTAGCCTGAGTTACTTTTATTTTTATTTTTCGTATTTCGGACAGGGTGTACAGGACGTACAGGGTCTCACTGTGTAGATCAGACTCGTAGGGATCCTCCTGTTTTCAGCCTCACAAGTGCTGGGATTACAGGCATGCGCCACCACGCCCAGTCTTAATCACTGTCTCAGCCTCTGGGGGCAGGGCCAGCAGGGCAGGCTCAGGGATCCAACCCCCGGCCCCTGCATCTGACTAAGCAGGCACTTTAATCTGCTGAGCTATTTGGCTGGCTCTTCTGAATTACTTTTAGAATAAATAAAAGGTAATTTAATAAACATTACTAACTTTAACAGGCTTGTTTTTAGGCATAGTTATCCAAACAATTTTCAAGGTGTTTTCTACACATCCAATTTAAAATGATGTGGGAACCACTTTGAGATCCTATAAATATAAATAGTAAACACTTTAGGGCCCATATAATGTATAAGGCATCAATCATTGTACTAGGTACTTTGTGTAAGATATCACAAGAGGATTTTGAAAACCTTTCACTTTAATATAAAAAACAAAGGAAAATGCTAAATGACTTGATGATTAAATGTCTTTTGTTTTACTGACATGACCACTTTTTTTGACATGGCCACTTTTAATCAGTGTGAATTCATCCAGAAATACTTGCAGGAGCAGATGTACACTGCCAAAGGTGACCGACCACAAGACATCGTGCTGAGAAATTTGGTCGATCTACTAGGCCCTTGGTGACATGACACTGATCTTCATGAGTGTGGTCCTGATGTGCTAATTCTTCTTCTATAGTGTGATGTTACTTGTGATAAGTCCACAAGGAGCTGTGGAAGCCACGCTTAATGCCACGCACCAGCTCGGAACACCCGCCTACCTCTTTCTTTACTTCTTCTTCATCTTCCAGTGTCAAAGCAGCCAGCTGTTTAGCTCTCTGCTCCATGAGGTTCACATACCGAATTGGGTTTGATAAAGCTTCAATCACATCTAAATAAGGAAGAGACATTTTGATCAAAGGTTCTGGAGGTACTGATTACCCATTATCCACTGCACCATCCATCCAACGGTTCATTCATTCATTCATTCATTCATTCATCCATCAGTCTACTCACTCATTCTTTCACTCACTTCACTTGGCATTCAAGGCTCACTCTCCTGCCTACCCACATAACTATCCACTCATCTATGCAACATTCTGGAAACAGAAGAGTCAGGACTTTGCTGAAGGTCAAGAATACAGAAAAGAGCTTAGCTCTGAGCCTCAAACTGGACAGAGTACAACTCAGGATGCTTCAAAACTCCAGATTCTGTAGCTTCTTCTTGGAGCTCCCATCCATCCCAGCAATGACTCCCCCCGCCCACCACCACACACACACATAAACAAAACACTTTTCTTATTTGGCCCAAATAGTATTTAAGGACTTAAGATATCTCACATAAAAAGCTTGCTTTTCAGGCTGTTAGATTAACCAGAAGACTTAGCAATAGACTTCACTTGCGTGGTGGTGGCTGTGTGAGTTGGGGCTGTCATCTTGGTGCAAGGCCTCCATCACCTCTCCAAGCCACTTGCTATTGTAAGCATTTAAATTTAGAAATCCTTGTAGATGCTATCACCAATTAATTTCTCTAAGTTTATGATTTCATCCACAAAAAGGATTAGAGTTCTAAGAACAGTTGAAGGCAAATCACTACATAGGTATAGATAGGAAGCAGTGGTAGCAGGTAGCATTGGAAAAAAAGTACTAAACCTATAGGAATTAGAGTACCCAGGAGTATAGATCCACAAAACAGAGGTATCAGGATTCACATTTAAATCAGTTAAAAATAGACTCACAGAAGTATAAAACCTTACCTTTAAATACACATCTAAAATTAGAGGCGATTCTAATGCTGCTCTCTTCCCTTTGCTTGGTCATCTTCCTTCTACAAATACACAGATGAGCCCAGACAGAAGTGCCCTTTTGGGGGAGGGTCTTTACCTGCATATGTATCTGGCACATAATCCTTCACTTCTATGTAGACGAACACAGCTGGCAGCATCAGCGGCTGATTCCTTTCATTTCTCAGGCAGATGTAGTGGTAGCCTAGGGGTGATAATGGTACCGTACATCACATATTCTCTTTATAAGGTTAGTTAGAGCTAGGAGCATCTCTACAATGCAAGCATTTATTTTAAGTGCTGCTGGATAACAAATGGGTCACCTTTTCCTCATTTAACACATGGCTTTGAGTGACAAGGTATTTTCTTAATCAAGCAGGAAAACACTTTATTCTAACCATATTTCCAATCATATTTTCCCCCACAAAAAAAAACAACTCAAAACCACATTCCACAACTTTCATGATGGGTTCAAATTTTCTGCAGAATAGAATTATACAGGATGTCATCTCTCGATTGGGGGCTTAGAAAGCTTTTTTTTTTTTTTTGCTTTTGTTTGTTTGTTTTTTGGCCAAACTGGGGATTGAACTCAGGCCCTTGTGCTTGCCAGGGAAGCGCTTATTCCACTGAGTTATCTCCCCAGCCAGTTCGATTGGGGGCTTAGGACTTGCTCTGCTATAGCCAATGAGATGTTAGCAGTGTGGTGTATTTGTGGGTGCCACTGCCCCTCCTGCTTGTTTTTGTTTTTGTTTTTGAGGAACCAGGGATTTGAACTCAGACCCTTGCACTTGCCAGGCAAGAGCTTATTCTACTGAGCCATCTCCCTGGCCCACCCCTCCTGCTTGTGACAGGCCTGAACCTCACTGAGAGCTGATGCCCAGCTGTGCTGCGTAGCCCAGGTGAGGCTCTCCAGACCGTGCACTGTGGTTGGGACACCATCTGTCCCTGAAGAACTCATATGTGCCACGGTCATCCCTCAGTGTGGCAGCATGAAAGGTGATGGGTCCTCTAAAAGGTGGAGCTAAAAGAGGGCCCTTAGGGCACTGGTTTAAGCCTTCAGAAGGCATTGAGGAAGTCCTCGGTCTTGGAAGCTGGTTCTATTAAAACAGCGAGGCTGGGCCCATTTGGCCTGCTGGCTTCCTGTCTGACAAGGTGACTTTTGGAGTGGCATACACCTATTCCTGGTGTGATGTCACCCACACTTAGGTCCTCACCACAGGCCAAAGTGTTCGGGCAGCTGAACCTGGACTTCCTATCTCCAAAACTATGAACTAAACAAATAAACCTCTTTTTAAAAAATAAAGTGGCTTGCCTAGGTATCCTTGTTATAGTATTGAAACACAGGTTAATCCACATTGCTAGGCCACAAACTGCACCAGGGGCATGAATACCTATGTTACCTTTGAGATAGTTTGTTTACTATACTTATTATGACAAGAATTGATTAAAACATTATAGCAGGG